AGTAATTATACTAAGGGTACACAGTGGAGAGGCAGCAGTAGAGCTCTAAAAGATTTTTTTCTACCATATCCTATCTGATGCCTACACCAAGCTACAGCTATCTACCTTCTACACACACCAGTTCAAGGCAGCTTTCAGTATCCTCAGAGGTTCTTCACAGTGTTTTTGTTGTGGTTGCTGTTGTTCCTGGAATCTATCTTTCACTCTGGCTTCTATAATTTCTTCAGAGTTGATTTTGGAAAGGAAAACAGCAACTCATTTGCCAGGAATTGTAAATATAAGCCTCATTAGGTGCTTACTCTGTGCTTAGAACTTTACTTGCATTATCACATTTAACCCTCTCACCATCCCTATGAGGTATATACTATTATTATATCCATTTTGCAGATGAGGAAACTGCAACACAAATACATGGAGGGATTTGCACAGATCACACAGACATAGAGATGGAGCCAAAATTCAAACTCAATCAGTTTTACTTCAGAGACTAGGATCTTTGTTCACCACTGGTACCCACATTATAGGTGCTCAGAAATGTTTGTTGAGTATGAACAAATAGATGATGGTTAAAATTACACTGTCAGCTGCCAGCTTCTCCAGCAGTCTTATCACACCATGTTTTCTTCTGTTCAATTGACTTACTGTCTCTTAAATATACTATGAAACCTATCTGTGTGTCCTTAAAAGTGACCCATTCTACTTTCCTTTCAGTCTTTACCATTTAAAGCAGCATATTTGTACTTCTAATAAAAATAAACACTCGTCTTTTTATTTTTCTAAGCACAGGTGATACACTTTTCTCATTACCAGAGCTCTGTCACAAGACCAGGCTTGTTTGTCCTCTGCATTTCCTGGTAGAAGCAGGTCCTTCAAAAGAAAGAATATAAATAGCCATCAAACATATAAAAAGGCGCTCAGTTTCACCAACTATGAATGAAATTAAAACAACACCAACATATGATTTTTCAAACTGGCAACAAAATTAAAGGATTAAAATACCCAGAATTGGTAAGTGGTCTAGGAATTTATGCTACAAAAAAGCTTGCGTCGTACAAGCATATTTGTTGTAGCATAACTCATATAAAATTTTTGTGTAAATGAAATTTCTGTTAATAAGGAAACAGTTAAATAGATTATGACATTAGGATACTATGGAGTCATGCAGTGAGGAAAGTATTCATGGTCTATTGGTAAATTTAAAAATACAGAAAAGTATATAAATATGCAATTTTTATAAACTAAAATAATTTATATAAATAAATGTATATACTTATATA